TTCCTTAGGGGCCACGTAGAGTCAGGTTTATCTTCTTGAGTGATGTGGCTAGTGGAGAAGGAATGAGTCATTTCTCTTGCAGAATTCCCTTTTGGAAAGACCACTCTATAATTTTATTTTTTTAAACAGAGGCCTGGTTTTTTGGAGAAAATGTGGGCATATATTTCTTGTACAGGGATCCCTCCCTCCTCCCATCCTCCAACCTGCCCCACCCCCTCCAGGATAACTATCATCCCTAATCCTAGTTACCATCTCCTTTCTTTTTTATTTAGTTTTATCTCCTTTTACAGGTAATTTAAAAATTAACATATTTTTCATATCAACTGTCTTTAACTTCATTAAAAAGGGTATTTTACAGCATATGATTTCTGGGGATTTCTTTTGATTGCTTTGTAACAGTTCAGAAGGTGAGTGTACCACTTTTTTTTTATGCATTTTCATCTTAGTGAGTGACTACAAGATTTGACACTTGAAGGAATTTCTCTTGGGTAAAATTGCTAGGATGTAGACAATACAAATATTGTCTTACATTTGCCAAACTTTTCCAAAGTACTTATACCTATTTATACTTCCACCTGTGATTAATAAGAGATTTTCATGGATCTATACCCTTTGCAAAACTTGCTATTATCATCATTTGCTATACTGTGGAATCTGTCTTAACCTGCATGTCAATTTCCATTTTTATTTTAACAGAAAAACCATTGGGGGTTTTGATTAGACTTTCTCCCTTAAATGTGGCTTCCTAGAGTACTTCTTCCCTGGATTTTGCTTGAGATGTTCATTTGATCACTTACACTTATTCTAAGAGAGAAAATACATAATGCTGAATTGCTAGGCTTAGTAACATTTATATTATCAGGAATAAAAATGCTTTTTGTAAATATTGTCAAATATAGAAAGAATTTCTGGGAAGTATGGGTAACTGTCAGCAGGTTTTTACTTATTCACAATATGGTAGGAACATAAAAAAAATACAGGAGATAAAGTTCTTATTCCATTACTTGGCATTTTTAATCATACATCTATTCGGATACCAACAAGAATATAATTTTGTGCTTGCCTTTTTTCTTCTTGTTCTCTGTTGTTAATTCACATTAAAATAATTTATCCCCAGTTCTTATATCATAGGAAACATGTATTAAATGAAATTATGGGGAAAAACAATAAATGGTATAGAATTTTCAAAGGCTTTAGCAAGGCCTTACAGGGGTATCCAAACTTTTGGTGCCTTCTGGGCCACACTGGAAGAAGAAGAGTTGTCTTGGGCCACATATTAAATACATAGTGACATGTAATCAGGAAAAGAAGAAAACTCATAATGTTTTAAGTAAATTTATGATTTTGTGCTAGGCCACATTCACCGCCATCCTAGGCTGCAAGTGGCCCAGCCCTGCTTTAGGAGATAGTGTGCCAGATATTAGCTTTACCCATATTAATGTTAACATTGATTCTGTTAAACAAAATTCTGTATTGTATACCAGTTGCCTGGTTTATGACATTTGTTCACCAGGGAAAGATTTCAAACAGAAACATTTGTTTTAATTAATTTATTGTTCAGATGGATCTATGGGTAGGAATGGCTAAAACATTTATCAAGAAAAGCCTCGAAAAATTAAGTTTGTGTCCATAAGAAAGAAGGCTGCAGTCAAGTGAAAGTAAAGTTTAAAAGTCCTCTGACTAAGCAATACCACTGAACATTTGGTGAATCCGACCCTTTTTGGGGTGTTGGCCAAGTAACAGAAGATGACACCTTACCAAGACATTATTGCCTCTTCTCAATGATCTATTTTAACTTTTCAAGTGCTCATGTTGTTATGGTTATCTCTAACCAATTATTTCCAAAGGTTGAGTGTTCTACCTCATAAGACAATTCATAGCATGTTTAAAATGACAATTAGAAGCATCTCTAAGGTTAACCAAACTTCATCTCACTTTGGCTTTTGGAGTTTCACAAATAAGTAGTCATTTTAATACTGATAATATTGTATTAGAATATTTAAAGCCAGAAAACTTCAGTTTTCTAACCAGTTTCAAATCAAGTCATCTAAATAACAGACATAATTTCAATTAATGATAAATACAACTCCACAAATAACAAGTTATTTGCTCTTTATAATCTTAATTTAGAAATTGAAAACTATAATGTAGTTAAAAGATTCTCCCAGGGTTTATGTACTTGAGTCAACTGGTAAGGTAAAAGTGTTTTATGTCAAGTGTACTCTTGAAAATGTCTTACATTTCTCACAAAGTAAATACCAATAGAGCTGATTTTACCTCCAGCAAAGGACCTGAAGACACTTCTCTAAGGAGGACATACAGAGGGAGGGTCCAGAGACATATGAAAGAATGCTCAGCATCACTAGCTATCAAAGAAATGCAAATTAAAAACACAATGAGATACCATTTCGCGCCAGTCAGAATGGACATCATAAACAAATCAACAAACAAGTGCTGGCAAGGATGCAGAGAAAAAGGGAACCCTAGTGCACTGTTGATAATGCAGACTGGTGCAGCCACTGTGGAAAACAGCACGAAATTTCCTCAGAAAACTGAAAATGGACTGCATTTTGACCCTGCAATTTCACCTCTGGGATTATACCCTAAGAATCCTGAAACACCAATTCAAAAGAATCTATGTACCCCCCATGTTCACAGCAGCACAATTTACAATAGCCAAGTGTTGGTAACAATCTTAAGTGCTCATCAGCAAATGAGTGGATCAAAAACTATGATACATTTAAACAATGGAATACTACACAGCAGAAAAAAAGGAGCTCCTACTCTTCATGACAGCATGGATGGATCTGGAGAGCATCATGGTAAGCGAAATTAGCCAGGCAGTGAAAGACAAGTATCATGATCTCACCTATAAGTGGAACCTAATGAACAAAACAAATAAGCAAGCAAAATATAACAGGAGGCATTGAAATAAAGAACAAACTGACAGTAACCAGAGGGAAGGGGAAAGGAGTGTAATGGGCAAAGTAGGGGAAGGGTTCTCAAGGAACATGTATAAAGGACCCAGGGACAAAGCCAAAGCGGGTTAGGGTAGGAGGCAGGGGTGGGTGATGGTGGGAAAATGGAGACAACTATACTCGAACAATAAAAATTAAAAAATTAAAAAATAGTCAAAAATTAGATAATGATATTATGTTGATGTAAGTGGTTAATATTAGGGTATTTAGGTGAGTGGTACATAGGGATTCTTAGTATTTTTTGTAACCCTTCTATAAATCTAAAATCACCTAAAAGTAAACATTTAAATGAAGTTAAAATCTAAACTACAAAAATGTCAATGAATGGAAAAAGATCTTCATCTCACCATTCTGTTTAACATTTTGTAAGAAAAGTAGATATAGGTGATTGTTACACTATTTATACATATTTTTGTAAATTGTCAATTTTACTCATCAAAATATTATGAATTGTGACCATCAGAATACATAGATTGTTTGGCTGGGGTGGGGGTAATGGAGGAAAATGCAGACAACTGTAATTGAACAATAAAGTAATAATAAAAGAAGAATACATAGATACAATGCATTCATTTAGGGTGTATTTTCTATCATCATGACACCAGACAATTTCAATGTGAAACTCATGAATTTGAAACCTATCTGTAAAATTCCTTCACCCTTTCCCATAGGGACATCTAAACCACAGGAAAAAATAAAAAATAAAGTGGTTGTTTGGCAGTTAGGGACCACACTGTATGAAGACTAACTTGATTTACTTGGCATGAATACACATTGTTGAAATTATCCATATGATGCAAAACATTACAGACTGTTTCTTTACTGTTTTCCATATAAAGAAAGAAACACTATTGAATACCTTCAATAAGCCAGGCACTATGCAAGAGTAGCAGCACTTGTCACATATTCATCAATAAATGTGGAAACAGACAATTTATTAACTGAAGGAGGAAACCATTTCTTGAGATAAAAACTGTCATATAAAAGAGAAGATTAAGGGGAAAAGAGTATGGTAACATGAGAGTGATGTTCTTCAAAAGAAAAGTAGTGGACAGTGATAGAAACAATTCTACTGCTGGATCTTGAAAAATAAATTCACAAGTGTCATCTTCCAGTTCTCTAATACTATTTCATAAAAATTTGACTCATCATTTAAGGAACAATGGTTTGCAAAGTTTAAAATTAACTTTAAGATTAACTTATAAGAAGCTCTAAAGAATGCCATTTATTTAGCAAAATAAAAAATACTTTTTTACTAGGAAAAATTACAAAGATATCTTCAAATGGACTGCTCAAGGAATCCTTTCAAGATATGCACTTCTAAGGAAAAAGTCATTTTAGAAACAGAAACTAGACTTATCTAATATTTCTTATACTAAAAAATGTTTTATAAATTGCCAGAAATCAACAGCAGTAACAAAATAACTCAGCAGTGATAATAGGATTTTCCCAAGAGAAAACAATGGAGGAACATTACATCAAGTCACACCTCTCTCTGCCATTTGATAGAGGTACAATTTTGTTAAATAAAGATTAAAGGTAGCCTTGATGAGGAAATGAGTTCATTAATGTCCAATGCTTGATGGATACTAAAGAAAATAGAAAAAGGCATTTCCCAAACATTTCTGAAGATTCAGTCTGGGTAGGGAGGATTCATGATAGGTAGATAGTGTGTGCAAGAGCCATACATATATTTTAAGGTAGTGGTGGAGGCACTACTTTCTTGATAGGTTAATTCATCCATCACTACTACTAAACTACAGTAGTTCTGTCAAAATTTGGCCACTGGAAGTATAGAAAAGATACTATGAAAATACACTCAATTTTAGGATCTTACTAACTGTCATTTCATGACCCTGAACAACCATCAACTTTCATTTCCTTATCTGTAAATTAGGAATATACAGCAAGTAACTTTACGGGATAGGAGAGAGATCAAATAAACTGAAACTTCAAAAAGTATTGTGTGAACATAAAACATGATAAAGGACTAGAGAGATTTAGACAACTCAGAGAAAAAAATCTCGTGTGAACAATTTATTTTGACAAAACAAACTGCATTCTAAATTCCCAAACTTTTCCTTATTTAAAAAGTGAGAAACAAGGCATCCTGGGCTCTAGGATTTCAGGCATGAGTAAAATAGTACCAGATTTTCAAGTTTTGTAAGATAGCTGCATTTTATATATAGCTATCACAAACGTGAAGAAAATTATGACATACATTCATCAGTTTCAAATGTACCTATAGAAACATGGACATTCTTTGAGTTTCTAACCACAGTTTCATATCAACAAACATCTAAGTAACTGACACAATTTCCATTAATGGTAAATACAACTCTACAAATATCAAATCACACAAATCATTTGCTCTTTATAATCCCGATTTGGAAATTGAAAAATAAGAGGAATGTAGCGTTAAAAAAATGCTACATAAGGGCATCATGACAAGGAATGCTACAAGTATTTCCCTTAAGAATGATTTTTGAAAGTTTAAATTATACCAGGGATATTAAAAGCTTTAGTGTGAACACTCAGCAAGTTAAATGAAGTATTGGCTAAATCTCTAAACGATCTAGCAAATCAAGAGATTTTATACAATTAATTAGTAACATACACATTTAAGAGATTAATACTGACTGTTTAATAGAATGTTTAGATGGTTTGGAAGTGTCTACTCTTTCTAATTCACTTTAGCTTTACATGTCAATGAAAGGTAAGATTCCTCAGTGAGAAGTTATAGCTTATTCTGCACTAGATACAGATATGCATACAATTCAGAGCAAAGTTTGCTTTCACCTTCAAGGAACCTATTTTTAATTTACACAAAATTAGATTGTTTTTCCACACACATGCATTGAAAAAGTGCTTCTCAAATATACATGGCCCATTTCCATAATCCTAAAACAAAGATAAAGGCACATAAATGGCTAATAGTTTGTATGTTTTATGTAAAATTTTTCATTAATCTTTAAACAAATTCAATCTAGAGAGGTATGATAATCTTGTTACAAATATCTATGACTTAGGAAATTAAAAATCTAAGACCTCTATAAAGGCTGCAGTTGTGTTCAAGTCATACATTACTTCATTCACTCCCCAAACTAACTTACCCCTTAACCTCTAAAGCCTGCACATACTTGTTTCATTAATTATAAAACCAAAAAGACTGAGGGAGAAGGAATTGTTGAAATTAGTCTCCCACAAAAGTTGTTTTGAATCTTGGTGTTACAAATAGATTTAATATGCCATTGACTTAAATTTTATAATAATAAAACATTTACACTAATGTATTTGAATGGAATGTAATTAAGAACCACATGTAAATCTCTAATTTTAATGAACATTATTTGTCATTTAATTCAACAGCCAGCAGTATTTAAATTCGGAAATAGTACTATCTCTCTTCTCTTCTATAAAGTGCTATTTTTAACTGGGTAGGTTTACTATCTAGCTTTTCAACAACTTCACTGTACAGCTATACCAGGGATGTCAAACTCATTTTCACCGGGGGCCATTATCAGCCTCACGGTTGCCTTCAAAGGGCAGAAATAATTTTAGGATTGTATAATTTTAACTACTCCTTAACTGTTAAGGAGTTGAAATTACATTCGGCCCTTTGAAGGCAACCGCAAGGCTGATGAGGCTCCCAGTGAAAATGAGTTTGACACCTCTGATTTGTAAGATTCCAGGAAACAATGAAAAACTGAAAGAATTTAGTATTTTAAATATTTGCAAAATACTGCTACAAAGCATAGAGACTATGAGAGTGTTTTATTAGTAAAACAAAGCGAGCTTCAAGTGAGTCACTGCTTTGATTTAATGATTACTTCGCAGAAGCACAGGTCCACTAACATTTATGCCAATTTTTGTTAATCATCTAAACCAGCACAGTTTCTATACACAGTTCAATTCTAAGCACCAACAAGTAGGGTCATGTCAAATAGAACCAATGGTTACATAATTCCAGAATAAAAACTTCAGCAAATTTAAATTTTTAGAATAGCAAAACAAGATAAGAATCAGAACCAAAGCAGTATTTTACTTAAAAATACCATAGATTACTAAGGATGTTTTCTTTAAATGAAAATTTGTATAGTTACTAATAAAGTACCTTAATACTAAATGCAGTGGTATGAGATATTTAAGAGGAAAGCATACTACAAATTAAGTCAAAAGTGAATGTTGTGTATTTTTTTCAGTTCAGTGATCAAACCTGAAATTGCTTTTTAAGAAATAGTTGGACACTACTTTTAATACAAATAGGATACCAAGAGTTCCCATTTTTATTCACATAATTCTCTAATTAGTATTTTTGCATTCTCTGTAGTATCTTAAAAACCAAATGCAATTAGTAAAAATTACAGGGAGTATGTAGTTTTGTTCACACTTAACAAACACTAAGTTTCACTACAATTTGCATTTCTTGTTGTTTTTGGAATAGTAACTACTTTCAAAAACATATACATAAAAGTGCAATATTCCTTATTTTGCATGGCATCCAATAATGGTTAAATCAAAGAAAGCCTCAGTCATCAATTCTGTACCCCCAATTTTAGATCCATTTCTAGTCCTCACAAACAGGGACACCAGGGTAGAGGGCTGGCATAAGAAAAAGAGGTTTAGGTCAATGTTTGATGAATCATTTGGAAAAACCACTTCACCCAGAATACTAGGGGGAAATGTCCCTGACCCTGACCCATTCCAATCCACCAAATAAGAATGCATAATTTAGCCTATGTTTTTTTTCTAGTGTCACTTACTTGCTTACATCCAGTATTCTATTTCGCAAGGCAAACAAAAGTTAGAATTCCCCCCCCAAATTTTTTTTTACCCGAATACATTGGACTTCGGTCTCAGTTTGAATGAGGATAAGTAGACTTTAAGAGACCGATCCTCTTCTTCCTGCTCCCCTTCCTCCAGGGGCTGCTCGGGGTCTCTGAAACAGGGTGTGGTGTGTATGATCTGGGTTCGGAAGTGGCTTTTGTTGAGTCTGGGTTTTATTCGCCCACTACAGCTACCTGAAGCTTTGCGACCTGGGTCCTTTACTTTGCCTCCAGTCAATCCCTCAGCCAGGTGATGGTGGTGGTGGTGATCCCCTCCATCCTCCAAGACATGCGAGAATTTGTAGGTGATGAGGTGCGAAGGGAGTACCTTTGAAAACCTCCAGCGCCCTCCTCCGCTGCTCGCTGCGCTCTCCCCGTCTTCCTCGTCCAGGGCTCCTACCAGGTTCTTTATTTCTTCGGCGACGCTCTGACTCAGGTACTGCGAGGCCTTTTTCCCACTGTAGTCTCTGACATCTACATCTGCATCATAGGCCCCCACCAGCAATTTCACCACCTCGACGTGCCCATGCATGGCTGCCAAGTGAAGGGCTGTGTAGCCTCCACTTGTCCTGGCGTTAATATTTACTGGCAGGTGGTGTTTGTTGGCGAAGTTGACCAGCATGGCCAGGAGCTCCTGCCGGCCGTGCTTGGCGGCCCAGTGCAAGCAGGTGAAGCCGGTGATGAAGTCCCGCTTAGCCAGCAGGCCGGGCTCGCAAGTAAGCAACGTTTCTAGGCTGTCCCATTTGCCGTCCGAGGCTGAGAGCATCCAGGCGTGTTCCAAAGGGTCCAGGGTCACCGAGCCTCCGCTGCTGCTCTCCTCCTCCGCCGACGACGATGCCACAGATGCGCTGTCAGAGTCAGCCCCGCCTTTGCCGCGTCCTACCCCAGAGAAGCCCCCGGGGCTGCTGCTTCCAGTATAGATGGTCCTCTTCAGCTGCGGGGAGCTGCCAATTTCAAGATCCCTGAGGTTTTGGCGAGGAGACCTCGGGGTGGTGGTCCCCCTGTGAGAGCTTTCCCCTTCCGCCTCCTCGCGACTGTGGGACTTGGGTTCCAGGTCCTCGCTGGTCGCGGGGACCGGTCCCCCGGCCGGAGGCTGCGCGTCGCGCCGCGAGTTTCTCCTGCGGGCCCCGCTGCTCAGGGGCGGCCAGCTCCGGCCGTCGTCCGCCAAGCTGGTCGGCCCAAGAGTGGCAGCGGAAGGGTCCCCTCCCCCGGGCTCGCAGAGCGGACTCCAGAGCCCCTCGGGCGCCACCGCTTGGAGGCACAGGCTACTCTCTCCCGCCTTTGCCTGGCCGAAGGGCCTCTCGGGGGCGCCGCCGCGGGGCTCGGCCTTTGCGGTCACCGAGATGTGGGGCAGGTCCCGGGAGGGCATGGCTTTGGGCGACGGTGGGCCTCCGTAGAACCTCCTCTTGAGGTGCACATATTTGGAGTCGTCGGCGGGGTCGGTGCGCACGGTAGCCACCGCGTTGACCAACTCCTTGAAGCGGGCGCGCCGCTCCGGCTCGTTGCCCAGGGCGCCCGAGAAGTGCTGCACCAGCTCGGAGCGCCGGACTCGGCCCCCGCGCTCCGCAAGGAAGAGCAGCACCTCCTCGGGGCCGAGTTCTGCTGGGCCCTCCATTCTTGGTCTCTCGGCTCGCTTAGTAGCTGGCAGGCGGGCGGTTCAACCCAGCACCATCGCTGCCGGTTCCCAGGTGGGGGTTCCTCAGGCTGCAGATCCCTAGTCTGCTGCGGGAGACGCCGGTTACAACTCACTCCACCGCACCCAGTAGAAACACGCCTCCACCGGCCCCGCCCCACTCCTTTCCGGTCCCGCGTTGACCGCAATCTCAGCTCCCGCCCGCCTACCGCCAAGACACGCCCACAGGCACCGCCCATTTCCGGCTCTCACGCCGGCCTCACTAGCAGCTTTCCTGACCTTGGTAGGCTGGTTGGGGGGTTCCCGGCAGCGTTTTCTCCCGTCGTCTACCTCAAGTTCCCAGTATCCTCCAGTCACCTTCCCCTTGCTTGTCCCAAGAAACATAAAGGAGGGTCCCGTAACAGCCTTGCACGCGACCGCCCCCAGCTTGGCCCCGCCTCTTCACAGGACGGTAGAGGCCCGCCCTTCTCGTTGCACCGCCTCCGGCCCGCGCCCTCAGTGCGGGGCGTGTTCAGCCCTCCCTGCCCCCCTGGCTCCTTTAGTGAGGACGCTCTGGTCTGGGCTTGGCTGAGACCGCTGTTCTGTTGGCCCTCAGCCTGTTTCCCTCAGCTACTGCCGGGAACCGTGATGTCTGAGGAGGCGCGGCACCTGGTGAGTTCGGGGGACCCTTTCCCAGGGCCTAACTCCCAGGATCTCCGCCTTGCTGTTCCCGGGGTCCCATCGTGACTTCGTCCCGCTGGAGCTCGGGCTGGCAGCTGGTCCCGACTGCGTACGGCCCCGGCGGTGGCGTTGGTGGGGACCTGCCTTTCACGGTCCTCTGGGGCTTCGCGGACGGCCGGTCCGACAAAGGGGTGCAGGGACTCTCCCCGGCTGTCCGTGGGGCTTTGCCGGGCAGCCCTCACCTGACGTTCAAGGTGCCCGGCAGCTCGTAGCGCCGGGCGGGAGCGGCTTGTGTGACTTCCCACCCTGGCCAAAAGTTAAATCTGAAACTGCGATCGTGGGGCCCTCGTTTTTATAACGGTTTTGGACGCACAGAGCCAATTAATAAAACTGTAGTGATCTTTTACAGTTGTGTACCTTTCCCTGACTCTACTCGCTGAGCTCCCACCTGTTCGTTCACTGTTTGGTTTAACCCAACTGTGCTCTAGTCCAAGACATCCTCCAGTTAAGATTTGAGCCTCCTCCTCCTAGGTTCCCCCCACCTTTTTTGCCTTTGCATCCTCGTGCATTAAAATAACACGTGCGATTGATTTGTTCGGTGGTTTACACCTTTCAAGTTAGTTTTATATATCGTTTGATAGTAAGCCAGCGTTTCTGAAAATGTCATAATTCTGTTATTTGCCTTTTTCACATTCATTTTCTTTTGAGTATACGTTGAATTTTTCAGAGGCCACAGGATGTGGAGTGATCCATGGGCCTCACCGCAGAGCTGATGGAATGTGTCTCCAAGAATACTTGTCTTTTAAATTTTTTATTTTAATTTCCTACTCAATAAATATCTGATTGTAATCAATGCAAACAAAACCTCTTTGGGAACCTGAGACCAAAAAGTTTGAGAACTTGTCTAAGTAATCTCCTGACCTTCTGCTGTAGGAACAGATTTCAGATTGTAGCCTGAGAGGGTTGAGAGGAAACATTTCATAGACCCACGCATTGGAGATTGTGGTGTGGCAATATTTATTTGGATGGAAATAGAATACTGCCTCTGGCCCTGACCCATGTGGCTCGGTTGGTTGGAGCATCTCCCCGTAACGGAAAGATTGAAGGTTCCTTTCCAATTGGAGCATATGTCTTGGTTGTGAGTGCAGTCCCTGGTCTGGGCACATACAATCCCCATCTGAGTGGGTTTGGGAGGCAACCGATTGATATTTTTCTCTTGCATGGATGTTTCCCTCTCTCCCTTCCTTCCTATTTCTGTAAAAAGCAATGAAACCTTTAGTGATAATTTAAGAAATAAAATAAAATAGGTCCCCTGTGTGTCATCTCCATCATTCCCGCCATGGGAAAAGTCCAACTGTGTCTTCAGCAACACCAAAAACAATGGCCAGTGCCCAGAGTTTCTGTTTTGTATTACAGCTTACTCCTTCAGAGCACACAGGCAGCTGCTAAGCGATCTTGGTCCCTGTCTAGGTAGTTTAGTGCTATTCAGGGCTGCACTGGTACACCTGTGTAAGAGAGTGCAGCCATGGGGTCCCCAAAAGAAGGGTTTGTAATGGGGTCCAGAGCTCAGGGTGTCCAGGAGGTATTAAAAATGTGGGATGTCCTCACCCCCACAGGTCTGAGCTAGGGGGATGGGATACATGGAGCAGGGCCTTTGAGTTGTTTTGCATAGTAACAGTTTTGCAGATAACCTCCAGAATAGTCATTTAACATATCTGTAACCTTTAACTAGTTTCCTAGATGTGTTAAATAGCTGTGGCCATGCTTTGAGCCAGGGAGAAGGGAGTGACTTCCAGCCAAGATGTAACTGGGAGGCAAGTCCCCCTGGTTACAAGCCTAGAGCTTGGAGGTGATTGGCTCACCACGGGCAGTCATGCCTGCCCAGACTTATGGCAGCCCAGAAAAGCTGGAAAATACAGGAGTGCTGGCAAGTGTAGCTGATTGTGGGAGAATTCGGAAATGGGGCTGCAGAGAAAGATTAGCGTTGGGATTTAAACCCAGGCACAGCAGCCATGACAAGAGTCACCACACACTTTTAGCAGAGAATCACACACAGCTTTGGCAGGGGCGAATCACACAGCTTTGGGTCTCCCTTTGCCTCTCAGCTTAGGAAGTTGGAAAATAAGATGTAGCAGTGATGCAGAGTTCTCTCTTAGCAGTTTGGAAGAATGCAGGAGATACACTGTAGGAAGGAAAGGGGTGAAAGGACTTTTGCTGGTGGGCCATGAAAAAGTACGATGCGGTTTTGGAATAAGAACTGGGGATCCCGACGACACAGCTGATCGTGCTGGGAACTGAGGGAGGCCTGCCAGCTGAGCACTAATTACTGAGAAGAACTGGGGACTGCCTGAGCCATGGGACTATTTATTTTCCTTAGATATGGTACCCTGTGGGGAAGACTTTGCCAGCAGTCCCCCCCATCCGCCACAGATGAAAGTGACACTACCAAGACATGATCTGCTTGGGGAGGAGGGGTGGCCAATCTCTCAGAGGAGAAAAGCCAGGAGCCTCTTCCTCAATGGCTTTTATTGGGTCATAATACAGGCAGCAAGGATCAAACAGTAGATAGCATTTCAAAGAAATCTGAGGGCTCGGTATGAGTTAGTGTCTGTCAGGAAAGGGGGTTGCAGCAGAAACTTTGGGAGACATACTCATTTCCTGCTCAGACCCTTGACATATGAATGAAAGCACTCTCTTCAAAGCAGGCTTCACAGGACTTTTAGGAATTCTTTCTTATGCCAGATTACCCTGGATCCCGCTCTAGCGGGGCAAGGAGCTGCACAGCCTCCCCCATCACAGGTTTTCAGGCTTAAGTGGATTAGAGCCAGGAAGCACTTATCCCAGAGGACATGGGGACTCAGGCTATGTCAAAATAGCCTGTGGGCGAGGTTCCATCACTCCCTCTTTGTTGCAACCCCCCCCACCCCCACCGAATCCTTCCATGATGGCCTTCCAAGTGATTGTGTCTGGCTTAGATTGCCCTTCCTCTGAGGGAGGGGTCATACCTGTCTCTGAATAACAGACCATGCATTGGGGGCAGGGGAGTAAGCAGAGGCAGTGTTTGCTACCAGAGACAAGCTTTGTCTCCTTGTGGCTCTCATTCCAGAGGTTGTTCACTCATTCTTAGCTATAGGAAGCAGTTACAACTCCTGAAACTAGGCAGAGTGGTTCCCAACAGTACCCCAGACCGGGCAAAGAGGGGAAGGAAGGACTGTGTGTGTTTGTGGGTATTTTAATGGACTTTGGGACTTTTGATGAAGACATTAAGTCATTACTCTTAAGTCTGTATAACTTGAATAAATAATTCCTTGCTTCTTCACCAATCTCTAAGATGGAGAAGTATAATTCTCTGGTGATAGGCAAGGCAAACCTAGTACAGGGGACCCCAGGAGAAGGGGGGCTCCATTTGGTAACATTGTGGGACCCCCTTCCCTGGTGGCTAATCAGGGAAAATCATGGGAGACCGCATGTGCAGTAGCTTTGAAGTAATACAAGTACTTGTACATGCGCAATAAAAGCCCACCAAAACTAGCCAGGAGGGATCTGCCCTGTAAGAATAGAGTCCCTCTATCCCTCAAGGTTAATCTCTGCTTAGAGTTGGCTTGCTCCCATGTTCTCTGCTATAAACTCTGGGTGTTCGGTTCAATTCTTTGTCCCGATCACCAAGAACCTGGTTACCTGTGTCCACCTGTGACACTTAGACTCTTTCGTGGAGTTTGCATTTGGAGGCCTCAAGGCTGCTTGCCCAAGCAGCTACTGGACTCACATGTGCAAACTCATGGGGCTGGTGTATGTTCCCAGGTAAGAGAGATAGAATGTGTCCTTATTAAGCTGGGTTATATTATCTCAGGCTTGGGACTGACCAGACACTTTTTAAAACTAACCAATCAACTTCCTAAGCTTTCCTGGGCTTCTAGTGGTCTCATTCCCTAGCCAATTGATTCCTTTCCCAGGTTAGATTGACAGGCCTCTATGGTACCTTTTCTATTGCCAAGGTGCTTATCTTGCCCTGATGCACTCCCACCCCCAGTCAGTTATAGCAGTGCTCCTCTTGGGGTGATTTCCTGTCAGCTCCATCTTGGTGACAATTTCCTGGAGTGTGTGAGTCCTGGAATGAGTCTCTAAATGCTTTAGCTTCCTGGTGAAGCAAACAGGCTTATACTCCCTGGTTGATTATGGTTATTAATGTCTGATTGCCTTTGCCTCCTTCCTTTATTAATAACTAGCTAACTACCTACCATAACAATAGTTATCTTCAGAATTAAACTTGGGCTGAAGAGAGCACTTCATTTAATTGGTGTTGAATTTCTTGTCAATTGCTGCACTTGTTTTATTTTGCAATACAGTGATAAGGTTACCTTTATTTTCTAATTAAACTTTTCATGTTGAGATCATGGTAGATTCACATGCAATAAAGATCCCTGTACCCTTTATTCAGTTTTCTTCAAAACTAACATTTGCAAAACCATAGTACAATATAGTACCACAACTAGGACATTGACATTGATATTGTGAAGATAGAGAACTTTCCATTGCCATAAGGATTCTTTTTATACCCATTCCCACTTCATTTCCATCCCGCCTCCTCCTTAACCTCCAACGGCCACTAACCACTTGTTCTTCATTTATGTACTTTTGTCATGTCATGACTGTTATGTACAGAATCGCACAGTACTTAACATTTGGGGATTGGATTTTTTCTTTCAGCAATATTCTCTGGAACTTCATCCAGATTGTTGCATGAAATCATTAGTCTGTTCCTTTTAATTGCTGAATAGTAGTCCATGGTATGGATATACCACCCTTTGTTTGAAGGGCATCTAGGTTGTTGGGCTATTATAATGAAACTGGTCTAGACACATGCACAGTGTCTATAATATAATATAACATAACGAAACATGGTCATGTACCTTTAACGAAACATGGTCATGTACATTAATAACCATAATCAACCAGGGAGTATAAACCTGTTTGCTTCACCAGGAAGCTAA